GAAATCCGTTTAAAATTTACGATGGTTCACACAGTAGTATCCTTATGCATTCGCCATTTCTAACATGGTGTTTACAAAACGTTTCAGTTATTATACATCCAGCAACAACTCATTTTTCTAAAACTGAAATATAACCAAAAAGACGCGCATTGACTGTTTCAAAATTATTAAAAATATGAAAACGCGACACGATGCGTAAATTGTGCGTCTTACTTTCGAGAACAATAGCTATAAAACAGAAATTTTCAGATTGATACATAATACGACACAACCAACCATAAGTGGTAATTCAAACACAAAGGATATATTTAAACTTACATTTCTCTAACATTTCACTATAAGATCCGTATTGTAGAACTTCCAACTTATTATGTAGTCATTGCCATGCCGGTTGTTTTTAATAACAGAATTTTCCAGTCATATAACAGATCAAAGAATTTTTCGAGACGCATTGTCACGCATCGACTTCTATTTTTGGATTATCTGGCGCCACAAATAGCCCAATCATATCAAAAAGCATGCAGTTCCACCTTGAAATGGGTTCAATTGATTTACGGTTTATTCTATAATTTAGAACACAGTTTAGAGCACAATGTGTGCCGCCGAACCGATTTGAAAATGCTTAAGGCTTTTTTTTTTGCGCATGTCGTGTGCTCCTCTGTTTTTGATGTGTGATTTTTATATTTGTGATAATTATTTCAAACAAAATAGGATTATCATAAAGGATATTTAACATCTACAATATGAGTACGGAACAAATGTTAAATTCAATCGTTAATTGTACGTACGTAAAAAAACGAAGAAAGCCGACTGCGGAAATTAAGAATTCGTTTTCCAGAGCAAAATTTGAAACTTTGATGTGACCAAGAAACATAACTCTTTTTAATGAAAAAAATCTACCGCTGTAACGCTACTTGGGCGATTAACTTTTCCATATAATTAGAAAGTCCCATTCAAATGGCCAAATCACACAAATATCCAACTTAGCAATAGTTTAATTGCTAATGAATGATGATTTTAACGGTAAGTCTTATCATATTTGTTAAAATAAGCCCCAAATATAGCTCGTTTATTGGATTTTTGTTATTTGCACGAACCACCCTACATGTATGTAACGATTCATGTTTGTTTATATTAATGCAAGAATTATGGGATTTATTGCGGGAAGGGGCGCAACTCTTACTTGACTTGGTCAAAGTAATGGTCAACCAAATTAAAAACCAAAATCCCGGTTATGCATGGGCAATGGACTTTACGTCAAATATTGACAACGTTCCCAGACCCTCCGTACGTTGAAGACTAGGAGGTTTTTGGGGTGACCGAGACTATTTGTCAAGGATTATTCTAGGTGCATACCAACTTTTAAGGGGCCACGGTTTTTCGCTCCATCCGATCAACTAGACAATGCCTTTGCCAGGCCCGCCAGTCTGCACCCACTAGCAATGTGAAACCACACTTGACAATTCCAGGGAACTTTCTCGACCAAAACCTGGATCGAACCGGTTCACCGAGTCACCACGGCTCCCTCCAAAATTAAAGGGATGTTATTGTCTAACAAATGATAAATATTAGCCGATCAGAATGAATGAAATTTCAGATTTATACATCAGCTCGGAATAACTCAAAACCGAGAGTTTCCAGTGTTTGTCTCCATATCGCTAGTACAAAATAGTCTTGTAAACCCTGTGAGAAAACAAATTTCTAATAACAATTTCGTGATCACATTTAGACCACTCGTCGACCTGTGAACGTATGGCTGAAAGCGAAGTTATAATGTTTGATTGCAGACAACAAAACATACTAGAAATAAATGCATTCATGAATATTTGGGACATAAAATTACTACCAACCTGGAAATTTAAATATGTAATATCCATCATCATATGCTGTGTTACAGTCGTTATACAGCTGAGTACACGATGACAAAGCTGGAAGTTAAATTACAATATATATTAACGACAATCAGATAAGAATTGCGGCCACAAAATACTAACAAAAAAGTGGGTGTGGAGCTTAGGAAATGAGCAATCATGTTATTGAAATACATGTACAATTGATCATAGATTCTTAAAAATGCGGACCGGGCACTATGGTGGCTTACTGGTATGTCGTGTTAAGGCGACAACTCGACATCACATTTTAACTCGACTATGACAACCCGACATCACGACATTTTAACCCGACAATACGACATTTTCGCCCGACACCACGACATTAAAAATGTCGTAATGTCGCCTAGAAATGTCGTATTGTCGGATTAAAATGTTGTGATGTCGTGATTTCGGGTTATCGGCCCTACTTCTCTCAATAGTATGATTATGTACACTGATCCTGGTGATGGGCAAGAAAGTTCCCCGGGATTTTGCAGCGCGGTTTCTCTATATCGGTAGTGCAGAACAAAGGGCCTGCCAAAGAACAGTGTCTAGTTGTGTACATGGAACAAAACAAAACAAGCTCCTGTGTACACTTTGGCGTGCACATAAAAGAATCCTTCACAGTTGAAATTCGATGAAAAAATGCCACGGTCGGTTGAAAATTGTCGTCATATCTTTAATAGTCCGATTGGTGCAGAAAAGTAAAATGAAATGAAATGGGGTTTAACGTCCTACTGTTCTGCTCGGGGAGCCACGGCGGCTAAGGGAGTAAGACGCTGGCTCACTAGCCTGGAGGTCGTGGGTTACGTTTCCATGGTTGATCGAGTAAGTTCGAGATTTTCCGTCATGGTTTCCCCTTATCAGGGGTTCAGGAAGGAGGGCCTGACAAGGACAGCTGTCTAGTCGTTCGGATGGGATGTTAAGCCGATGTCCCGTGTATACATAAAAGATTCCTTGGCAGTTGGAATTCGATATAAGAGTAGGCTGTAGCGCCGGTGTCCGGGCAAAATGTCCCTCATAGCACATTGTATGGCGTAATCACGTCTCCTTTAGCCCAATCGGAGCAAAACAGTAGGACGTTAAACTCCATTTCATTTCATTTCGTTCTGCTTCGACTGGGCTAATGAAGACGGACACACAGGGTACTATGATGGAGGTCTTTTACATGCACGCCAGTATGTAAATGCCCCCCCCCCTCCCGTTCTGCACCACTGTCAAAGAGGAATCGCTCCGGAAATGGGGTTTAATGTCCTACTTTTCTGGAAGCCACGGTAACTCAGTGAGTAAGAGGTTGGCTCCCTGCGTTGACCGAGAAAACTCTTCGGGAATTGTTGGTATGATTCCTCTTTACAGTGGTACAATAACGTATAGTCTTTTTGGATGGTTCCGTGTACGGGTTGACGGGTTCTCGGGTTGTTGCCTTATGAAGGGTAACACTACGACATGACACCAATCAGCCACCATATGACACCGACCCTGGGGGATAGGCATAAACCAAAATCCTGCTCCCTCTCCGGAATCTAACTCTGATTCCCCATTACCCGTCAACACCTTGGTAGGTAGGTCACAGATCCTAGCCAATTAATGGGACACACATTTTATGCTAAAGCCGTCGGGTGGGTGTCCGGAAAGGCTCGGCAATCAGCAGCACAGTTATTCGGATTTCACCTTTCTGCCCCTCTGCCCCGTTGCTACATTTGACGGTAGCATAGCAGGCTAGGGTCATCTGGTATGGCGAATACATGAGATTTCACATCTTGGCGAGAAGCGAAAGGAGGAACGAAAGAGAGAGGGGCTTTTATATCAATAATTCAATAATTCACCTGTGCGTAGGAGTCTTTGGCAGTGGGAGGAAACTGGAAAACCCGGAGAGATTGGAAAGGCGACCCTACTCCTTGTGGCGTACAAGCGGGGAATCGAAACCACGCCACTTGACTCAATGACAGACCTTATGATGCAACGCGCACACGCGTAAATCATTTGCACCCCCCCCCCCGCCCCGAACGACAGGAGGGGCCATGTTGCGTTGCATGCATTAGCTTCTGATTTACCATTCCATCAAACCGATCCGATTTCGCCAAGGAACCATATCTGACTAATGAGTCGTTTCTGCTCGCTCCCCGATTACCACTTTCCGAACACATCGTTGTTCTTTGAAAGAACCGACGAAGAGAGAAGAGACCGGGTGGGAGAGATCGGAAGCGCCGTAACTCTCGCAAACTTCGAAACAGGCACTCGCGCGGCTTGAGACAACTCAGTTTCTCCACAGGAAATGGTATTAGAATTAGTATTGTTATAATGTAGGCCAGGTATCCATATATGGTTATAGACTTTTCTAATATAAATTATCTTTTCGAAAAACTAACTTACGCAAAAGGGTAGCCTCGGTCATCCAAGCCCGTTAGTCGAGGGAGCTATCGCGGAGGAGCCATATTGTCTGGATGACCGAGACTACTTGAAGGGAGGTTTTGTTTTTATGACGCAAGCTTCGGCTAAAATCGGAACCACGCCTTGATGGATGTGACATGTGGAGAAATTACATTGGAAGAAAATACCGATGTCGAAGTTACATATGTCGATTATGCACTAGTAGAAATTACAACAGTTGAAAGATCAGATGTAGAAAATACAAACGTTACAAGGCGCATTTGTACATGTGTTTTTTCGTTAGTGGACAATACTTTTCTATTTTGTAAAATCGAACATGGAAAAATCATCAAAACAACACTTTCATATGCTGACATAGTAACTTCTACTCGTGTTTACATGTCTTTTAATGTGGCGTCGATCCCCTTCCATACTATAAGGCATCGATGCCGACAATGCCCCCGCCCATATGACGCAAATCAATGCTATTTTAACACACCCCAACGCCAATCGATACACCTACCAAATTTGACTAACATCCAATTTGCGAAAAGATCTACTTCATTTAAAGAGATTTGAATAAGCAAAATATGTACTAAATTTGGTTGATATCCATCAAGTGGTTTAGGGTGCACTCACCTTGACTTTATGTTGATCATAAAAAATAAAACTAACGTACATTATAGGTATTGATATACCACATAACTGAATATAAGACAATTGAACCTACCTGTACATTTAGGATCTTTCCAGGTACTATTGTTTAAACATGTCCAGTTACTTGAACGATAGTAAGAAGTCCAGCATTGAAAGTTTAGATTGGTTCCAACAGGCCATAAAGTGACCGATTGGTCATATTCCGGCGTAACATGAACATAGACGTTGGTAGTAGGTGTTGGGCAATCTGAAATGCATTACATTTGTCGGCTTTAGGGTTTATAAAACATGTAGTTTATATAATATTCAACGGGAACTGACCATTTAATTTTGATCACAATAAGTCCATAAACAGTGTCTCGTTTTTGTAGGGGGGGGGGACTGTAAAATAGAGTCCTTTCAGGTTTAAAGAAATAGCATCGCCCACCCTCCCCCGAAATAAAACGTAATGAGAAGGGGTTTAACATCCTATTTTTGGTTTTTACCAACCGGGCTTATGGCGTTCCCTCCTACTCATCATAGAATTCCGTCTTTCCAACGTGTATACAGAATCACGTTTTTTCGTACCACCCGAAAGACCAGATACTGTTCCTTGCCAGACTGACCAGGAAAAACCATATTGGAAAATCGCACGTCAGTTGTGGCGAATTGAGGTCAACATTTTTCATCCCATTGTAATAATTATGTTATTATACTCTTCAAAAAATGTGTGGATATTGAAATGCAAATACCTATGCAGGTTGCGATATGATAGATAGCCATGGAATTTGACATGCTTTGAGGGTATGTTCACAGGTGAAGAATTTATCGCCCCAACAGAACCACTGAACTGTACATGCGACGCCCAATAGCGCCATACACGTGGGAGGGATTCATTGTCAAATTTGACACTTCAAGGAAGGTTTGATGAAAACTGCCGCATGCTGATTTATCTACCCATGTTTGCTTTCCTATCGGTTCTTGCATAAGTTTTACTGTTTAGCATATCTTTGCTTTAGTGTGTTACGTTTAATTTGATCGGGAGACGTTTTCGTCAACGTCAACGGACAACACCGCAAGAATTGGCCGTGGCACTGCAAGAGGAGTGGGTCAGATTGCCGCAAATCGTGATTGGACGGTTGATTAGGAGCATTCCACGACGAATTGCTGAATGTCTGAAGATTGGTGGAGCAATTACTCATAAAGACAAAATCAAAAACGTCCATTTTCACTTTTGACGGGTGTATCTCTTTGCGAGTGAAATGGGGCCGTCAGATAAGCCACCCAAATGAACTGTTTATGTTCATGTGTAGGCAATTGGCCTGTTATTAACATACACTGGTTAGCTCTAATAAAAACAGCAGTGCATTTCCGCAGTTTTGTATTGTTTCTGACCCGTCTTCATTAACCCAGTTCGGAGCAGAACAGTAGGGCGTTAACCCCATTTCATTTCATTTCATTTATTGTTTCTGAATATCCCCTATTTTTTTAAGCGTATATAATCGCAAAGCAATCGACCATTGAAAATACTGTAATAACACCATCAGAAACATTGATATGTTAGCTGCCATTAATGATAACGTTATAACTTCGCAGAGATTTATAATTGTGCTCTTGGACAGGTTGGGATTTTTAAAAAATTAAATGGCGTCTTCTTTTTTTTTTGAAATATGTTCATTAACGGTGGTACGTTCGTCATGTTGCGTTCGTGTAATTTTTATTTTGCGGTTGTTTTACTTTTAAAATGGTGCTAAGGAAACCGAAAATTGGCTTTCATGTACGTCAGTTCTGAATAATTGTGGACTTTATTTTAAAAACATGAAGGTATGTAGCAATGCGTGTTATTAAAAAACGTTTAGCATTTTGATGTTTTCATTAAAATAGTTTGTGAGTATTAAATGTGGAAGTGGCGAAGCGGGTGCGTATTCCGATAAAGTTGTGATACTAAACAAGAGTCATGTAAAACTTGCCGGTGTTCATTATGTGAACTCTCAAAAAGGTGAGCATACTATGCGTATTGCACAACACCTGTACACAAGGTAACTCCCGGACCAACAACTTCTTGTAGCATAACCGGTCGAATATGGCAGCTATAACTGCACTATGTTTTACCTATGAATTGAGCTCTGACCTAATTCTGACAAGAATTAGGATAGCCGAAGCTTCTTCCTGTATAGTTTAGTGTTTAGATACAGGGCCCGTCTAACCGTGACCCCTCTTACTTCACTATTCTACTTAATTCAACCGTGGTCATTAGATCGTGGATTAGTTCCTAGATTCGAAGTTTTAGTTCTGTTCTCGGAAAGAGTAGGTTCCTAGTGTTGAGAGGCATGTTGCTGTTCTTCCACATTCCCTAGTTCGTCCGCAATGACGAAATAGTTCCCCAAGCGGTTGAAGCTATTCGTTAATTTGATTTTCGAGTCCTCTTTGGAAATTGCAATCTTTATCAGGTCTTGCATGAAGTCAGTGAAACTGTTTTCCTATTTAAATATGGGGGTGAAACTCGATTCACGAATCTTCTACTTTTTGTTGTCTGCCTTGGTGCTGGTTGTAGTTGTCGTCCTTTGACTTTGAGTTTCCTCGTCCTTTCCTTTGCATTTACCTGTGGGGGTGGGGATATCATCGGACGTCAAGGGAATCGGTGGTGGAACTGGTTTTGGCTCCACAAACGGCTCCCTCACAACTTTTGCTTCCCTCCCCTTCGTTTTGATCTGCTGTGTCGCCTCCCTGCAGGTAATCTTCTCTTTACTTTCGGGGAGGTCGCTGCATGATCGCCTTTACAGTTCGTCCCTTGAGCTTCCTTGTCCTTTCCTTTGCATTTACCTGTGGGGGTGGGGATGTCATCGGACGTCAAGGGAATCGGTGGTGGAACTGGTTTTGACTCCAAAACCGGCTCCCTAACAACTTTTGCTTCCATCCCCTTCGTTTTGATCTGCTGTTTCGCCTCGCTGAAGGTAATCTTCTCTTTACTTTGGGTGAGTTCGCTGCATGTTCGCCTTTACAGAGTTCGGGCTGTTAATTTCTCTACCCGCCGCGCAATCGACCCCCGCGTGGTTCCCCGGGCACTGGGCACACACAGTCGTTCCTTTACAGTACTTGACTGTTTGCCCCAGCTTCTTGCAGTTCGCACACTGTCGCATCCTCTGGACATAGGGGTGAAACCGCCCGTTTATGTACACGATTTTAAGGGCCTCGGGGGCTGCAATTTCTTGAAGGTCACAGTTTCACATAACAACTTTTGGTCCTCGAAGGAATTATCGGTGAGTAGAAATTCGCCCGTTACTTCCGTTTATTTAAATCTTTGTTACGCATCTATGTTAGCAATGATTTCCGTGTTAAAATTATATTTGGAATGTATTTAACCAGTTCTACGACATATGCATATGTGATAATGGCTGACACCAATATTGTCCTTTAACAATTGGGTTAAACAACAAATTCATTACAGCGTAACAAATCAATTGTAAAAGTATATAACGATAATCACCGCTACATTACATGACAATCCGCAAAATTCATTATGGGCGATTATTGCAGAAAATTTAATTGTGTGATAAACTGCAAACGTATACATTTGATAATCGCCACACGTAGAATAGAACCATTTCATCATCTATGGGGCCACACTGCAGACGAACAACATTTTTACCATCTTTTGATACATTTTATCAACTGTTCCAAATTTTAGGGAAGACCACAATATACGGGCTGTCATTTTACGTATTTTGTGTCAACAAATTGGTTAGAACTACGACCGACTTCTAACTATGGTACCCAGGACAGATTGATTGGACGATAAAAATAGACCCACTCCGTGACAAACTTTTCGCTCAGGATTATTGCACAACCCAGGAAATGCACATACTTTCGCCTTTTATTAACACGAAATGTAAGGTAATGAGAGGAACTTTACCGGGCAGTGTAAAATTAAATCGTGTTTCGTTATTGTGAACAATGAATAACGAGACAGTAAAATAATATCCGTTCACTTCTTTGTCATAAAACAATCCATTTTGCTTTTCGAGCTTCAATAACGAAGTGTTTCGTTATTCTGGGTTCTAATTTTGAATAGCCAATAGTGTTTCGTTATTCTGGATTCAAAACAAGTTATTAGAATGTCTTAGAAATTTCATTCACTTAAAGGAATGATGCTTCAGCAATATATCCTAAGCAATGTGCTATAAGGGGCATTTTGCTCGGACAGCGGCACTACGGCCTACTCTCATTTCGAATTACCACTGTCACAGGGTTCTTTTACTTACGTGTTTCGTTATTCATATCATCGTTGTCTATTTGTCAAGTAAACTGTGTTTTTTTCATTTAATTGACTTATAAGAAGGGTGCATGAGCAGTATATGAAATGAAATGGGGTTTAACATCCTACTTTTCTGAACCGACTGGGCTAATAAATGGGCATACATGGTGTACTTTCTATTTCGTAAATCCCACGGTACACGGGACCTCGGTTTTTAGACCCATCCGAAGGACTATATGTCGTCCCTTGCCAGACCCCCCACCCACCCATCCTGCACCCTTGCAAAGAGATCTCCTGGTCAACAAGGAATCTCCTGGTTACCGAGCCAACGTCTTACTAACTGAGCCACCATAGCTCCTAATTGATTTATAAGAAGGCTGCCTCGACAGCAAACAACTAGCTTTTCAGGTCTATGCCATAAAACAATCCATTTTGCTATTCACTGAGTTACCGACCCTTGCCGTAAGAGGCAAGTGTCCCATGTGTTACTTTGTCTGAAACACTTAGAGTCGTCAAGTCAAGTTCACGGTCTGTTAAAATGTCGCAAACAGCGCTTGAACTGGAATGTAAACCCTATGCAAATACATTTCTGAGGGCTTTTAGAGGAAATGGTTCACCCCGAAGAAATTAACCAATATTGTACCTGGTGTAAATAGCGAAACTTTCAATGAAATACATGTAGAACGAAAAAGGTTTGCGATTGACATAAACTTTGCTAATGAACGGGCCAGAGAAAATCTTGGATGCTAGAATGGAGGATTATCTGGCATTAGTTCTCGGCTATTAAAGTGTTAGACATGAAAGTGTCTGAATCTGAATCTAGTAAGGTATAGTAATAGTGTAAGATGCAAATTATCAATATTTCGTTTTAAAAAGTCCAGTCGTAAATTTAGATGTAATTTTTAGTAGAAAAGAATTGTTATCCAGAGTTCTACTCTTTAAGTAAATTGCTATGCTAATTTGAGTCTGGTTGACCGTGTCTTGAGAGGTCGCCATTGACGTAGTCTCGGTCA